CTGTTCCTGCCCCTACCCGCATGCGTTCTCTCTCTTGCTTGCTCTATCTCTTTTTCTCAAATAAATAAATAAAATCTTAAAAAAAAAAACAACACATGGGATAGGAAGACAAACTTCCATAAGTTTTTAGTGACATTTAAAGTCATGTAATACATAATTCAATATCTAGAAAAATATCACTAAAATTAATGATAGATATTTAAAAGCCTCTTTTGAGTTTTCTCAATAGTAAAAGACTAAATGTAATACATTATTAATAACATTAGGAACACACTTATTCTTCCTGTTGCAGTAAAATGAATGAAATAAAACAGAAAACAATATGGCAACAACTTAAGTGGATTCTTTTGTGAACAGATACTGTCAGAAGTTATATAGAAATCATTAGAGATGATTTGAAGCATTAAGAATTAAAACAGATTATTCAGTGTGGAAAGATGCTAAATAAAGTACAGAAGTTTCTACCATGACCCAGATTATCATCTTAGCTAGATTTTGTTTCAGTAATGAAATACCAGGAAGAACTAAAATTTTGTATATGCCATTAAACTAAAGATGGGTCAGAGAAGATATATTCTCCCTAATAAGTCTCCTGAATATAATACAATGTTTATATGACTTCTTGAATATAAATAATTTCTTGAACGTAAAACAGTGTTTATGAGGGAATTTCCTGGGTTATGGTAATGTTCTGACTCATAGGGGTTTAGATTGCATGTATGTATACATTTGTTGGAACTCATCAAATGGTAAACTTAAGATTATGCATTTCACTGTATGTAAAATTTACTTTACAAAAGAAAAGAATCATACATATTAAACTCATATTAATGATATACATGCTGAATTGTTAAGGGAAAGCACATTGATGTCTCTGGCTTACTTTAAAATGCATTAAAAAAAACCCTGAGGCTGAGGCTGGCTCAGTGGGTGGAGCGTGCCACTCTTGATCTCAGGGCTGTAAGTTTGAGCCCCATATTGGGTATAGAGATTACTTAAAAATAAAATCTTTAAAAAACAAAACAAAACAAAACAAAACCTGAGATAGATTAATGAATGGATAGAGGGATGGGTTGTTAGATAGACTAGTCTAGTCTAGTCTAGTCATAGTAATGGTAAAAATGGTAAGTAAATGGTAGGTATATGGACGGACGTTCTCTGTAAGATTCTTTGAACTTTTCTGTTGTATCATCCTTAGGCAATTTGTAGCAACACAGAAGTTGATGTCAGATGTGTGGAGAGTGCTTCAGGATGGTATCAGTGTTGTTAATTTTTATAAAAACCTGACTAGTGAAGTGTGGAATCTCTGTAGCACTCTGTATTGAGATGGGGACTGACCATGAAAATCATTTGAATCCCAAAGGGCTTCTTTGGTGAGCTCACAGCAAAGATTGTAAAAGAGCTGTTGAATTCTACCTATTAAAGATGGGTGAAACATGTTTTTAAATGAAAAGATATGTCAAATTTGCTGACCTTTTTTATATGACAAGTGGCAATGTAATATGCTTCATAGCAGATTAAAAATTAACCAACCACCCAAATCAGTGGTATACTCTGACAACATCCCTTTAAAGTAAAGGGATGTTTTAACAATGAGTGAGAAAGTCAGTGCCTTTTTGAAGACAGATTAAAATACAGAGTGTTTTTAAAATCATTGCTTGGGGGTGCCTGGGTGGCTCAGTTGTTAAGCATTGGGCCCGGCAGCATCGGGCTCCCTGCTCCGCTGGGAGCCTGCTTCTCTCTCTCCCACTCTCCCTGCTTGTGTTCCCTCTCTCGCTGTCTCTCTCTGTCAAATAAATAAATAAATAAATCTTTAAAAAAAAAAAAAACATTGCTTGGAAATGTTTCTTTTATAATGTTATTTTTGTTGTGAAAGGTAAGTTTGTCTTGTGAAAACTTTGTTTTCTGCACACTTTAAAAACCTTGTAACAATATTTGCTATACTATTGAAAAATCTTCCAAATAAAGAGTTTTTATTTTTAAACCAATTGTTAAAAATCTTAAAATGCTATATCTTTTGATTATGTTGTAAGAACAATTGATTGACATGAGGAAAGATGGAAATTTATTAGCCAAAGTTCAACACAAACTTTTGCTAATTGATGAAAGTTATTGAAAAACAAACATAGTAAGTACGAGTGATGTATTTTAAAAATTTCAGTTCTTACATTTTTGCAATTATCCCTTTCTCAACTACACAGCCATTGCATGTAAATACGTGGAACTTAGGACCTGACATTTCAATCACTGAATGACAAAGTACTTAAATAATAATATAATTTCATTTGTTATTATCATTATTATCATTGCTTCACTAAAAGTGTTAAGTTTTTATGAGAATGAAAAGATCTGGGGGCACCTGGGTGGTTCAGATGGTTAAGCATCTGACTCTTGATTTTGGCTCAGGTCATGATCTCAGGGTGGTGGGTTGAGCCCTGCTTTGGGATCCCTGCTCGGTGGGGAATCTGCTTGAGATTTTCTCTCTCCCTCCACCCCTCCCCCTTGCCCTGACTCAGGCTCCCTCTCAAGTAAATAAATCTTAAAAAAAAAAAAAAAAGATCTGGGGGCGCCTGGGTGGCTCAGCCGGTTAAGCATCTGCCTTCGGCTCGGGTCATGATCTCCGGTGTCTGGGAACAAGTCCCGTGTCGGGCTCCTGGCTCAGCAGGGAGTCTACTTCTTCTACCTCTGCCTCTCCCCCTGCTCATGCTCTCTCTCTGTATCTCTCTGTCTCAAATGAATGACTAAAATCTTAAAAAAAAAAAGAGATCTGTACAACTAATAAGATATGAGGGGCACCTGGGTGGCTCAGTCAGTTAAGTGTCTGCCTTTGGCTCAGTCATGATCTCGGGGTCTTGGGATGGAGTCTCGCATGGGGTTCCCTCAGCCACTCCCTCCCCCGCTCATGCGTGCTTGTGCATGCACTCTCTCTTTCTCACATAAATACATAAAATATTTAAAAAAATAAATAAGATATGAAACTATTTTCAAATTCTTTTTTTTTTTTTTTAAAGATTTTATGTATTTATTTGAGAGAGAGAGAATGAGAGAGAGCACATGAGAGGGGTTAGGGTCAGAGGGAGAAGCAGACTCTCTGCTGAGCAGGGAGCCCGATGTGGGACTCGATCCAGGGACTCCAGGATCATGACCTGAGCCACCCAGGCACCCTTATTTTTAAGTTCTTATTTTTAATTTTTTGATCCCTATTTTATATATGCTTTATATTATATAGAATGTATTAGTAAAATAGTGTGTATATAATAAATATACATACATTGGAAGACCATACTAAATTTTATTTGTTTTCAGTTGGTCAGACTATGTAATCAAAAAAGTTTAGAGACCCCTTTTCACTGATTACTCATGATCTGGCAAACTCTTATTGGTAGCTACAATTTATTCTGGAAGTCTAAATCACTGTTTAGAGATTAAAATAAATCAGCACATAGTTTTTAACTTGTGAGCGTTTTTTTTTAATGTTGAGCCTCGATAAATGAAGGTTAGCTTTAGGCTAAATTTTAAGACTGGTTCTCAAAAGTGTACAGCAGCATAAGCATCACCTGGGAATTTATTAGAAATGTAAATTCTCAGGCCACATCCCAGACCTACTGAACCAGAGATGCCGGTTAATAAGCTTGCCAGGCAATTCCAGTGCTCACTTCAGTTTGAGAACCCCTGGTATGAATGGTAGACTCATGGGTCATCCCTTCTTATTTCTCCCTACTTCATGAAGTATCTAAGACAGTTTATTCAAATATTTATAGTCTGTTTCAGTCTTCGCTCAGACTTTTTCATCTCTCCCTGAGATATTTTTTTCTCCTCCTTCCCTCTGTTCCTTCCCTTCCTTTGTGAAAAACTGTGTTAAAATTATTAGTGTTATTTTTACAAAAAGGATAGTGTTTTGGTTCTTAAAATTTGGATGCCATAGCCAGTGTGACAAATAGCATATGTTTAAAGGGGATATATATATATATATATATATATATATTTTTAAAGATTTTATTTATTTATTTGACCGAGAAAGACACAGCGAGAGAGGGAACACAAGCAGGGGGAGTGGGAGAGGGAGAAGCAGACTCCCCGCCGAGCAGGGAGCCCGATGTGGGGCTCGATCCCAGGACCCTGGGATCATGACCTGAGCCGAAGGCAGATGCTTAATGACTGAGCCACCCAGGCGCCCCCAGGGGGATGTATTTTTTTTAACATTTTCAAATTAATTTTTATTAACTACTTCTAGTTGGACTTGAGAATTTCCTATTTTTTTCCATCTCTAGCCTCTTGATTTCAAATTTTATAATCTCAGAATAGCTTTCACCAACTAAAATTTCAAAACACACTTGAAAGTATGCATCACCTGGATTCAACAATTGTTGAATTTTGTTACATTTGCTTAATCTTTCTCTGTACACACACACGTGTGTGTGTGCACATGCCTTTTTTTTTCTGAAGCATTTGAAAATAAATTGTATACATCAGAACTCTTCACGCCTAAATTCTTTACTATTCACAATAAAGATCAAAGTAGCTTTTTAGGGGACTAGTACAAAATTGTTCTAAAAGGCAATTCATAAGAAATGCTAATCCAATTATTAAAGCCTCTTAAATATTTTCAAGTTCCTTCTCTAAATGTCTTAATGAGGAAAAGATACAGAATTCCCAGTTCTGAATGTATAAATTCACCCTCCAGCCTCTCTCAACCAAAGCTTTTCATTTGAACTACAGAACACAGAGCATGATTTGAGTGACTATTCTCTCATTTTTCCCAAAGATGGTATCTAACTAGTACTAACCCAGACACATAGGGAAGGAGTTAATTCCTTACAATAGATGTATTAGAATGTTTAAGGAATATTCTAAGGAATGTTAAGGAACATTAAGGAACTCCAGGAACCCAAGTTAGTGGGACTGTGCAAGTGGCAAGTTCTTAAAAGGATTTTGCTTTGAGTAGCTTGTGATGTTTATATAAATCACTTTTTTTTTTTTTTTTTTTTTTTTTTTTTTAGATTACAGGCCCACCAGGTTGTGGAAAAACTCAGTTTTGTATAATGATGAGCATTTTGGCCACGTTACCCACCAACCTGGGAGGACTAGAAGGAGCTGTTGTATACGTCGACACAGAGTCAGCATTTAGTGCTGAAAGGTAGGAGATTTTATTATTTTCCATTGTAATGTTTAATTTTGTAACTTATTTATAGCATGTAACATTTTCAAACAGGTTAACATTTACCTTTTCTTCCTGAGAATGCAGAATGCTAGATACTGCTTTAATTGAATTTTCCTTTTAAGATTAACACAGGAAGCAGTTTTCTTTTTGTGTTTTCTATCCCTTTGTCATTGGTTTAAGTGAGGTTCCTGGATAAGCTGTGTTTTGCAGAAAGTCAGGAAGAAAGAAGTTTAAGAAACAGAGGGAGGGATGTAAGTGGAAAATGGGAAGAGGGAAAATTAATAAAAAAGACAAAAGGCAAGGTGCTTTGTAACTAATTTCTAGTTGGAAGTAAAATATTAGTGAATGGAAAAGTTGCACATTTCAAAATACATTTTGACTGAGAAGTATTTCACTTTAATCTTTGTAATAGTATGGTATTCAACGTAAGAAATGCACTGATAGTAAGTGTATCTATGCTTGGAAAGGAAAGATTTCCTTAGTTTGGCAGGGACCTTTAACATTCTATGAGAGGCATTTGGTTATTTGGGTAATTCTGTACACCTGAAAATAAGTTTGGTGTCCGTTCCCTCCCGCTCCCCCCCCCCCACCCCCCCCCGCCGGCTCTAATTAACCTTCATGAGCAGGAGTACTTATAGGTCTGGGGACTGATTCAATTCTGTTCTTTCAGTCAAGGTGTTGTATAGGTATAGTCCTTTGAATCTGTCTTTAACTGTGTCATGAATCACGTCTCTCTTTATTTCTCTCTAATGATACTAGTTAGATCAAAGTGTATTCCCTGACCAGATAAGTTCCAAATGGATTATTTTGCCTAGAGTTTATTTGCTTTGTTCTGTGTTGCTTGTTATCTATTCTAAGTATATGCCACAGATGTGTCAGCTTTGTGAGTTTGTGTTATATCTTTGCATCTTCAAAGCCAAATCTAGTGACTGATGCATATTAACTGCTCAGAAAATGTTTGATAAATGATGGACAGGCATTACTCTCAAACTGTGAAATCCAGATACCATTTCCTACTAAAAGGAATGAGGGTTCTTGGGGAAATGGCTGCTTCTAGCACTGGTGCAGGAAATTTTTAAGTTGAGTCTAAAACATCATATCAGATGGATGACAAGGAAGCTATCAAACACTACTTAGGACTCAGGAATCAACCCGACCAGGCGCCCACAAAGATGAGACAAATTGACCACCAATAAGATAATAATGACAGTAGATTAAAACCCATGAAATATGTTTAAGTTCTTGAGTCTGTAATATAAAGAAATGAAAAGCAGGTAAATCTCCAAAATTTTGGAGAAGCAACTCATTATTTTGAAAATGAGTTAAAAAAAAGGAAATCAAACGTCTATTCTTTTTCTATATGAACTGTATTACCGAGTAACAAATAGGTCTTTTTTTTTTTTTTTTTGACAGAGAGAGATACAGCGAGAGAGGGAACACAAGCAGGGGGAGTGGGAGAGGGAGAAGCAGGCTTCCCGCTGAGCAGGGAGCCCGATGCGGGGCTCGATCCCAGGACCCTGGGATCATGACCTGAGCCGAAGGCAGACGCTTAACGACTGAACCCCCCAGGCGCCCCAACAAATAGGTCTTTTTACAGGAGTATTCCAGCAATAAATGAAGAAGGAATGATAGAATAGCACCAAATTACAAACCCCAACAATCTGATGGATCTTGGCATTGAATATTGTGATATAATAAGAAATCCATATTTTGTCTTAGTCCTGATTCTTGCCTGCAGAGCTTCTAAAACCTTTGGAATTTCCTGAGTTAATAGAGGTGCCAGGACCATCATTTGTTATTCATAATCACATAATCAACCCCTTTCAACCATACCTGAATTTATGCTATTGAGATGACTCTTGGTGGGCCCCTGGATAGCTTCAGATGGGAGCTGGTTGCCAATCATGTGATATAAAGTGGGAAAATTCAGCTCCACCCATCCTCCCCAACCTCTGAGGAAGAGAAAGAGGCTGGTAACTGGTTAATTGCCAATGGCCAGTGCTTTAATCAATAATGCCTATGCAATGGGATCTCTACAAAAATCTCTAAATGATAGGGTTTGGAGAGCTTCTGGGTTGGTGAACACCCTCAAGGTGCTGGGAGGGTGGTGTGCCATGTAGCCCTCCCCGATCTTTTCCTGAGCTGTATCTTGTATTCTTTGTAATAATTTGGTAATAGTAAGTAAAGTGCCTTCCTGACTTCTTTGCATCATTCTAGCAAAATTATTGAACTTGAGGAGGGGGGTGTGGGAACTCCTGATTTGTGGTTGCTTACTTGGTCAGAAGTAGTAGTAGTAGTAGTAGTAGTAGTAGTAGTAGTAATAGTAGTAGTCCCAGAGGTCCAGGACTTGTGACTAGTGTCTCAAGGTGGGGGGGTGGGCAGTCTTGTGGTTCTGAGTGTTTAAACTGTGGAGTCTGAGCTAACTCCTGGTAGTTAAGTGTCTGATACCCAGTTTGTGTCCATAGGGAATTAAAGAATTGCTTGGTATGGACAACCCAAATATTTGGTGTCAGAAGTGTTGTGAGTAAAAATAGTTCATAAACATAAAGCCTACTAGCATCACAAAAAGAAAACTAGTCATTGTGTTGCTTCCTGATGGAAGAATAGTCAAGCCTGAATGTGATCAAACTTTCAGATCCAATTATCAGTTTACAACATATACAGAGAAGAGAGGAACATGTTAAACTACACCAGAGAGATGCAGTCAGCAAAATCCAAACTGGGAAATGACAGAATAAATGATTGTTGGAGGAGGAACCTTTGGATTAAAAGAGATTTGAAAGGTATATTGCTCTCATCACATTGTATACCTTAAACTTACACAATGTTATATGCCAGTTATATCTCAATAAAGCTGGGGAAAAAAGATGTATTGGTCGTTCCAATGTGATGAACTTATTTGGATCTTAAACAAATAAATGGTAAAAAAGAACAGAAGCATAAATATATGAGACCACTGGAAATCTGACACTGAAATATGTTTGCTGCTAACACTGATAAAGACATTGGTTCACTCAGGTTGTCCAAAAGAAAAGGTACTCTTTAAAAATGTCAGTGACTAACCTTCAACTAACAAGCCAAAGACAAGTTGGAAATGAAGTAAACATTTTAGTCCCTTTATTGGAATTATGTTTCTTCCTTTTCTTTTTTTTTTAGATTTTATTTTTAAGTTATCTCTACACCCAATGTGGGGCTCAAACTCACAACCCCAAGATCAAGAATTGCTTGCTCTACTGACTGAGGCAGCTAGGCACCCCTGGAATTACGTTTCATAATTCACAAGGAGCCTTAATGAAGGTCATTGGAGGTTAGGGGTTGAAATTTATATTGTTTTTACTTCTCTAGTCTGTTCTCCACAGGCTTGAAGAGTATGGTCATCTGGCTGCCACATGGATTGCATTCTGAGGTGTGGTGATAGGGTCAGGTCAGGACTTGTCAAAGTAACCAGTCCTCCTTCTGGAGTACCTTCTCCTTCTGGAGAGTTTGTCATGGCAGGTCAGAGAATGGGGCGGGCTCTGTACTGCCTGATCTCATTTCATTTGTGTTATTACAGGACTGCTTGACCCCTATTTGGATTTACTGGGGAAGGTTAGTTAATCAGTTAGAAAAGCCTTCTGCTGCAAGTAACTGAATACCTACCAAAGAGTGAGTAGGTGGTTGCGGGCACTGATTCTGCCTCTCAGTGATGACGGAGACCTAGGGCTGGTGCATTTTTAGGCATCTTATCCAGTCAGTGGGAAGGGAAAAGGCCAGCTATGTGTTTTGTCAGGAAAATATGTTTTTCCCAGATTAGCTGTCTCTTTCCCTCTTTTGATTTCCTTTTCATCCTCTGGAATTATCCTGCAGATTTCTCAGTGGGCCACCCCTATATGCCAGGGAGGGTGGGGAAAGGAGGGGAAAAAGATTGTTATAATAAGCATGATGAGATTCCTGGGGCTGGTTAACATTGCTGCCTGAGTAAAATTGGGGTTCTCATAGTAAAGAAGAAGTGGGAATGGATATTGGTAGGTAATTAATAGTGTCTGTCCCACTGGGATTGTTTCTGGACTTAGAGAAGAGGTAAAGGCATGAACATGATACTCAAAGAAGAATATGTTTTAGGTTTCTGTGTGCCTCTTTATGTAGCAGTGTCTTCATTTTGTGCTTATAAGCAAGCTATCTGATCAGCACAATAGAGAGCGTGAATTGAAGGATTATTCTGAGGAAGGTTAAAGGATTTGTATAAAGGGGCGCCTGAGTGGCTTAGTCGGTTAAGTGTCCAACTCTTGATTTTGGCTCAGGTCATGATCCATGATCTCAGGGTCGTGAGATTGAGCCCCGCATTGAGCTCCACGCTGGGCATGGAGCCTACTTAAGATTCTCTCTCTCCCTCTAACCCTCCCCACACCCCATCCCTCTCCCTCTCTCTCTTAAAAAAAGAAAAAAAACCTCGATTTGTATATAGAGAATTTAGGATAAGTGATAAAAAGTGGAAAATAATTTTAATTTTTAATTTTTTTAAAGATTATTTATTTATTTATTCGACACAGAGTGAGAGATAGCGAGAGCAGGAACACAAACATGGGGAGTGGGAGAGGAAGAAGCAGACTCCCGCTGAGCAGGGAGCCCGATTTGGGGCTTGATCCCAGGACCCTGGGATCATGACCTGAGCTGAAGGCAGATGCTTAACGACTGACCCACCCAGGTGCCCCTTAGTTTTTAATTTTAATAATAAATTGCTAGATACCTTTTTATCAAAGAGGTAGAAACAAAGGAGGAGTAAATAAAACTTGCTTAAGTTTAAAATGCATTAAAAAAAAGAAAACCTTGAGAGGGGTGGAGCAAGATGGCAGAGGAGTAGGAGACCTGGATTTCGTCTCCTCTCAGGAATTCAGCTGGATAGGGATCAAATCATTCTGAACACCTACGAACTCAACAGGAGATCGAAGAAAAGAAGAGCAACAACTCTCTGAACAGAAAAGCGACCACTTTTGGAA